AAATCCATGCCAGGCTCTTCAACAACTCTGCTTTTTCCAAAACAGAGGGCAGCAAACTGATAAAACAAATCAAATTTAATTTCCCCGTGCTGGACCCTCAAACACACAAGTGACAGAGCCTCGGAGGAATTTGGGGCACTTCTTGCCCAGGATGACCCACACCCAGCCCAGGGCTGGCTGCTGTCCCCAGGATGTGTCACCAGGGACACCAGGGGACACATCACCTCGAGCTGGCGGCCACTTGGTCACAGAACTGAGCTGGCTGAGGACATTTCCCTTTCCTTGGGACGAGAGGAGGACTTGGCAGCTGGATTTGATCTTAGAGCTGTTTTCCAGCCTTAACAATTCCGTGATTCTCAGAGCAGCATGGAAGGAGGAATCCATGGATTTGTTKTTTTGCCAAGCAGATCTTGTCAGGCCAAGCCCAGCTGGGTCACATCTCACTGCTGGACAGCGCCTTGGTCTCCTCCTGTTTGCCTGCGGGGCAGGAATCTTGGAGCTCTTGTTTGACCTCCTGAATCTCCACTTTGTTCCTCTTGGCCATGATCCTGTTGATTTCCATGAAGGTTTTATTCTTGGTCTCGGGGACGACGATGAAGATGTAGGTGAGCGTGGCGAGGCAGATGGCACAGAAGATGAGGAAGCTGTAGGGCCCCAGGCCAGCCTAGGGCAGAGAAGGGGAGAGCAGGGATCAGGGGGACATTCCAGGGGGGAATTTGGACCTGCTGGACCCTGCACTGGCTGTGGAAATTCAGCCACAGTGAGGTGCACATGTTTTCAGCTGAACAGCTCAAAGTTGGGTGGTTCTGGGTTCTGTCTTCTCACACCTCCACGGGTTTATTGGAAATGCCTGGACTCACTGGGAAAGGAGGGTGAGGGGCTGCTCTGTAAATCAAACCCAGCAGCTCCCTCAGACAGGTGAAAATCAGGGGCTGCAGCAGTTTGTGGGTCACTGCAGTTTGAAGCACACACACCAATCTCAAAAGCTAAAATTTTCCCCATGACACACATCCTACAGTGAAAGACAGGGATTTTGCCACCTTTTCCACTCTCCTGAGCTCAGGATGAGACATTTACCTGGCACAGAAACCGCTTTCTGTTACAGCCTGGGCAGCAGCCAGGAGCAATGAGGAAACATCGCTGTCCTGCCCTTACACAACCCTACACMCGGGATCAGCTCCCCAGAGCCTCTCTGTAGGAACACAGGGGGCTYTTTGGGGTCTCACCTCCATGTAGAGGAACACCAGCCCCACGGTGAAGTTGCTCAGCCAGTGCACGGAGCCCCCAACCATGAACGCTGCTGGTCGGGACGACTGCAGGAACATCTCGGTGATCATCACGGCAGGAATGGGACCTGCAAGGCAGCTGCACGTCAGCAAATCCCAAATACAGCCCCTCACTCAGAATTCCTCATTAGATTACTCATTTCTGCAGCAGGCAGTGGTTTCTAACTGCCAGCATTTAGAARCACCCGATAAATCAAGCAAGGATTAAATTTAAAGAAAAAAAAAACAAACCAGGGCAATTAATTGATTTGAACAGGGGTGAAATTCATCTTCCACGGATGAGCTCCATGAAGGTTTTGGTTTGAAATTGAGCCCAGCCCAGGAGCTGTGGGTACTCACTGGGACCGATGGCGTGTCCGATGATGTAGACAATGACACAGGCGATGCTGAGGTACGACATCCAGGAGACAGTGTTCTGCAGGGATGGAACCAGGCTGAGCTGAGGATCCTGAACATCCCCAGCACATTCCAGGCYCTGTTCACAGCCTGATTTGAGGCACCCTAAAGGCAGTGCCACCCTCCAGTGCCAGATTTGTCCAGATCAGACACAGAAATCTCAGCCAAAGGGTGCAGGAGGTGCTGTGAATGTGACAGGCTCAAAGAGGGCTCAGGCAAGCAGGATCACAGCTTTTCCTGGCTTTCTTTAGGGTAGAATCACAAGCACAGAGAGCTTCCATCCTGTTCCCAAGGGTGTGGGAGCACTATTAGAATATTCCCTGCTCTCTGCACAGTGCAGGATCCCCGGGAACACCCGAGCCATGGACACACCTGGAGATTGAGGGCCAGAGTGAGCAGAGCACAGGAGGCAGAGCAGAGCACAAAACCAGCCAGCAGCAGGATCCTCCTGCCCAGGGACTCCACGATGAAAACCTGCAGGAGAAGGGACAGGACACAGCCAGGGCTCAGCGCTGCTGCTGGTGTTTCCATCCCAGGGGCACCACGGGGCATCTGCAGCTCCCTCCCACCCCAAACAATCCTGTGACTCGATTCCAGCCCGATTTCCCCCGGGGCAGAGCAGACTGGACACAAACTCACAGCCAGTAAAGTCATGACCACGTTGATGGCGCCGATGGACACGGTGACGTACTGGATGCTGCCACTGTCCACTCCTGCTGACTCGAAGATCCTGTCAGCGTAGTAAAAAACCTGCAGAACACCAGAGCTGKGCTCACACGTGGCCAGAACGTGGGGGACCCTTTTGGCTGCTGGCACTGGTGCACAGAAGCCTCCTGAGCCCCAGRTTTTCTCTCCTGGTGCCCCATCAGCCCCTCTGAATTGCCAGCCCTGGTTTGTACCCCCAGCCGTCCCCACTCACCCCATTGACCCCCGAGAGCTGCTGGCCCATCATCATGACGATGATGGAGATGAGCTGCCACCTCAGRCCYCTGAAAGTGCACAGGCTGAGCACRGAGAAYTGCCCTTCCTCCTTCTCGGAGCGATCCTCCTGGTACATCTCCTGGATCTCGTCATCCACGTCCTCCCAGCCCCTCAGCCTCTGCAGAGCTGCACAGGAGAGCAGGGTGAGAGGGAGAGGAGCCCGGGTGTGCAGAG